AAAAAAAAAAAAACAAAAAACTAAATTCTTAGTTTCGTCTCAAACCTCTTTCCTAGCAATTTTCTTCATCCTCAGTAAACGGTACTGTTGCAGGAAGATGAGGCCCATCGGAGAGAAAGAGCACCCAAACACCACGTTTATAAGAGGAACGGCTTCATTCATCGGCCGGGAGCTTACAGCATAGATTTCCAAATAGCCGCGCTCCCCAACTGGCTTGGTCTTTCTCCTTTTATTGACAGTCAAAAAGTTCTACCCCACAGGTACCCTTCTCATTGGCCAGTTTGAATCAAGTGGGAGATGCTAGTCCAGCCCCTACAGAACTACAGGATTTCACAGAACTTGGAAATTTCCAGGTTACAAATTCCTAAGAGCTGAGTCACCATGGAGAGGACCCTGCAGGTGTAACCTCATGTTCTCCTTGAGAAGACCTGTTCTCCCAGACCTCACCCTTCTCGGGTATCCTCTCTCAGTACTACTCTCTAACTAGTAACTCAGGCCAGATACCTAGGAGTCATCCTTCATTTCTCCCCTTTTCTCACATCCCATTATCACACCCATCAGTAAGAACTTGAATCTATTTCCATATCTAGGAACCATCATCCACTTTCCTCCCATATATTCTGCCATAACCTTAATCCAAACCATCATTATCTCTCCTTCTTATGTTCAGCCTTAGCCTCCTAACTGCATGATCTTTGCCCATCTCTCCAGAATCATCTCCTACAACTGTCCTTTCTGAGTATGTCTCAGCAACACTGGTCTTTTCTTAGGTTTTTAGACATTAAGATGTAAAATTGTTGCCTGCCTCAGGCCTTTTGAATATCCTATACATTCTGCTTCTTTGAATGTTCTTTTCCTCTCTTGCAAGGCTGAATCAGTTTCATGCTACAGCCCTCAATTTAAATATCAACTCTATAGAAAGGCCTTCCTAGACAAGTTTAACTAACTGTGTTATTCTCCTTAAGCCCATCTATTAAAAAGGTAAGTTCCATTAGAACAAAAATCTACTTTGTTTACCATTGTATTCCAGTACCTAGAAGTTCTTGGCACAAAGGAAGGAGGAACTTTAAAACTATGTGCTGAGGGAGGTGCCTGTGGCTCAGTGAGTAGGGCGACAGCCTGTATACCGAGGGTGGTGGGTTCAAACCTGGCACTGGCCAAATTGCAACAAAAAAATAGCCAGGCATTGTGGCGGGCTCCTGTAGTCCCAGCTACTTGGGAGGCTGAGGCAAGAGAATCACCTAAAGCCGAAGAGCTGGAGGTTGCTGTGAGCTGTGATGCCACGCACCCTACAGAGGGCAACAAAGTGAGACTTTGTGTGTTAAAAAAAAAAACAAAACAAAAAACAACCAACCTATGTGCTGAATAAATAATTGCTGAGTGCTCTGTGATCCAATCTTGCCAGGCTTCCTGACTTAAAGGGCTTTGCAAAATGAGACCTAAGGAATGAGTAAGAATTAGCCTGGTCAGGGACAGGGGTTAAAGGAGGTCTGGAGGTGAGAGAAAACATGATGCATCGGAGTAACGCTAAAGACATTCTGTATGGTTACAGATGGTGTAAAACCACTGGAGCAGGAGAGACAGGCAAAGCCCTGGTAAGAAGGAAGCTATAAGCCATGTTAAAGAGTCTGGACCTAAACCTAAGGGCAAATAGTGTCACGAACCAGCAGGGGGAAGGGGAGTAAACCAGAGTGGAACTGGTGGGGACTGAGAAAAATACAGCACGAGAGACGGAAACAAAGGATGGGATTGGGAGGACTGACTGAGCTGATGGCTGCAACCAGCCCCAAAGGACAAAATCAGCTTTATTTTACAGTATCTGTACAGGGTTGTCCAGGGGAAAGTAGCATAGACACTATGGGGAAATGGCCTAAGCAAAAGACATAATTTTGGTCTTACAAGTACAATTGGAAAATGTAAATGACTTTAATAAAGACAAATCATCTTGTTAATGGTTTCTACTCAACTTCGTTAACATATGACGAGAGGTAAGAAGGGAAAGGTCTTGAGGATCTCAGCTTAGTTGACAAAACAAAGGAAGAACTAGGTGACTTAGCGGTTTCTACTCAACTTTGTTAGCATATGACTAGGAGAAGAAAGGGAATGATTAGAAGATCTCTGCTTAGTTAACTAGACAAAGAAAGGGCTACGTGACTTTTGGCAGAGGGAGCATGAAGAAAGGAATATGGCTGTTTTGGGAACGGAGAAGCAGTTGAGGGTTCATCCCTGAATGTTCCGAAGGCTGTGAGGGCCCTGCCGTCTCACAGCCCGCTCTCCCCAAAATAGTAAATGTAAATTTTACATTTAGTATAATAGTAAATTTTACTATTACAAAATAGTAATAGTAAATTTTAAATGTGGAGTATCTGGTCACAATTGAGTCTTATGAGCCCCGCAATGTGGAGACCGGATCGGAAGGTAGCAAGACTGAAAGCAGAGGCAGCGGTAAGGCCACTGTCACAGCCACATAGCAGTCATAGGGTTGAATCAAGGTGATGTCAGTGAGAGTGGAGAGAAGATATGAGATATTCAGGAGACTGGTATGACTGCCTAGACGTGAACTGTGAGGAAGAAACCTAAAAACTTACAAGTTTCCGGTTTGAGAATGTGGCTCAGTTAACCCTTTCCTTCTGGGTCAACAAAGCAGCCTGGAAAAGACCCATTTTCAGCAAGTACCACCCTTCACAGCCCGGTGAATGTCTTTGCAAATCAAACTACAGAAGCGAGAGCCGCGCTTTTCCCTATGTTTATCATTTTAGGAGGTCACCCCGTGTCTACCTTGACGGCACAGTTAAGTGTCCAATAAATGTTCGTAAAGCGATTTCAACAGCACTGACTAAAATGAAATGACCTTTCACTCTCATGGCCACCCTTTTGTAGAGAATGAGTCCTGAAAAAAATAGGAAAAAGTGCAGGACTCTGAGTCTCACTCATAATTAAGTTAAGGGCCTTGTTAAGAGTCTCCCGCCCTCGAGCGCCCCAATAACCTCTTCACCCAGCTCCTCACCTGGGGCAGAAGACCCAGAGCCAGCCCAGCAGACCCCCAGCGCCGCAGAGCCGCCGAAGGCCAAAGCTCGCCCAGAGCCCTCCAATCGAATCTCCCGCGTTCCCTTCCGCCGGACGTGACGTTTTGGCTGGGGCTCCTCAGGGCCAATCAGGAGAAGGCGCCGTAAAGCTTGCAGAGGAGTCGGGAAACACAGCCGACAATTCCAATTCTTCAAAGTTGGGGCGGAATCAGGGTTTGGGAGGTTCCCGCACACACACTAATGGAGCAGCCGTGCAGTCTGTAAAGTTGGCTTGGAGACAGATTTGAGTCACCTGGGAGAAGGCGTCCGGGAAGGCGTGGGAGAGAGTGTAGCGTCCCTCTGGGTTCTGGAGGCGTGACTGGAAGAGGGCGTGCAAGCCGGGTAGTCGGGGGTGGCGGAGCCGTGAAGGCAGGAGGGGGCGCTGTCCTGGGGCAATAGGACAGACGCTGGCGGAGGGAGGCCGAGGACCGCGGCTGGCCGAGGGAGGGAGAGAGGCGGGGTCTGGGGTGGTTACTGGGTGCTTGGAGACGAAAGGGGTGTAACCTGGAGGAAGAGACTGGAACCTGCAGGGATTCGTGAGACCCGGGAAGGGATGAGTTGTGCTGGCAACAGGAAGGTTTTGGTAATTCAAGAACAGAGTGCCAAAGGGGGCGGTCGGACTGGCATAATGGAGGTAGGACGCAAAGTGTGTAGTCTTTGGAGCCGGACCGAGCGCTCTGCGAAGTAGTGCTGCACTTCTCTTGTCTGAGTAACTCACTGCAAGTCCCCACACGTCTCTGAGTCTCAGTTTCTCATCTGTAAATGGGAATAACAATCATACAGGAGACACAGATTGCTCTGATCATTGAGTTAAATGAGATGATGTGCGTGCCGTCATGCCTGTGCTGGCATGTCGTGAACTGTCAATAAATAGTCATGGTAGGTATGTTTTTTATTATTATATGGGATTTGCGGGGAGTAAGGGGTATCGCCATGGAATCGACGTGGCCAGGGCAGGTTTTGGCGGTGACAATAAAGGTAGCGATACGGTGACCCAGAGAAGAGATGGGCTTGGTGGGACGCTAGAGGTTACGGATGGGAATACGGCGATGAGGTAAGAGGAGGCCCAGGCATGATAAGGGCAGACCTGGGGTGTGACCTCAAAGAAGTTAAAACTCTTAAGGAGCGGATGGCACGAGAGGGAGGTGAGTGGAGGCAGTGGCCTCGGGGGCGGGGGCAGTGTAGCTGGAGTGACTTGCTTTGGGCAGCCTGGTTGAGTAGATGGTTGGCTTTGGTTTTCCCCGGGGAGGAGCCTGTGGTGGCGGGCGGAGCTGCGGGCTGGGCCGGGCTTAAGGCTGGCTCTTCTGCCAGTCTCCCTCCCGCCTTCCCACCCGCACTGCAGCCGCCAGTCTGAGCCATGGGCTGCCCAGCCCTTCTGCTCCTGCTCCTGGCTTTCCTAGCGCCCGGGCCCGTCAAAGCCCTCCGGCCGGCCTTAATGACCCTCGGTAGCCTGCACTTGCAAACTAACCCCACAGCCCATCCCTTTGTGACCAAGGACTACTCGGTTCTCTACTTCCAACAGAAGGTAAGGGGGGAAGGGGCTTCGGGATCCCAGGCCCAACCGCCAGAACCTCCACCCGGCAGAGTCCAGGCAGCGGAGTCCAGGCCAAAATTCAGATCCCCTAATGCCTCGTCTTTGGCTCACACTGTCTAGATGGTAGCCCCAAGTCCCACTTCTGTTTAAAAATTCTCCTTTTGTTGCCAATAATTTGATATTAGTCCTGGCTCCCCATGCTCTTGATTCAGGTTCTTTTGTAAAAGGCCATGATAGTAACTTGAACTCCTGCTTCCACAGGATGCCCCGGTGCAAACTCTCTTGACCACCCAAATTCAAATTATTGAATGCTAACTCCAGCCCCTAGTATATGGCTGGAGTCATCTTTTGCCTAAAGGCAGCCCCTAAATAAATATTTCACTATCTTTACCTATTAGGTAATATCAAATCTTTATCCAGCCCAAAGCCGTTGTGTCATCTTGGAATCAGCACAAAGTGATTTTATGGCCCTGTTATTAAGAATTGTTGACAGTCCTTATCCCCTGTAAGACTGAACGTATGTAGCCTATGTTTATAAAGGAAGATATAGGCATATGTCAGAATTTGGGGTGAAAGTGAGGGTTAGCCTCTTTATGGTTTGTACTGTAACTTGACTTTAGAGGGTTAAGAAAGGCTTTGTGCTTGGCTGCACCGTGGGCCCTTCCCCACAGCACTGGATAGAAAAGTACATCCTTTGTGAAATGACCAGGAACCTTTACAGTTCTGCGTTTCTGGAAGCCAGTACAGCAAAGAATTGGAAAAAGGCAGGATTAGAAACCAGGACCCGAGTCTGAATCTTGGCTTTAGGGAGTAAGATAAAACAGGATCCCACCTTGCTATCTCTGTGACTTTGGGCAGGTAATAGTACTTCTCTGAGCCTAATTTCTTGATCTCCTGGGATTATGGTGATGATTAAATGAGAGCAGGTGACAAGAGTATCAGGCCTCAAGTGGGCACTGATTGTGTGGTTAAGACCTATGTGCGTTTTGGGTAGGGATTTGGGATGGAGAGAGATGAACTCAGAGAATAACTTAAACAGTTTTAAAGCTAGAAATTCAAGTTTATGATGAAGAAAAAGCATTTTAATTTTAGCAGAAGTACCAGGAAATAAAGGGTTTTTTTTCTCTCAGGCAACTTCCTTAAATTAACTGTCTGGGGCACAGTTTCCTCTTTTGTAAATTGAGAGGATGGGACAGGGACCCATGTGTTTTATACTTTACTGAGAAAAATTAATGGGTCTCTGGCGAGCTGTCTCAGGGAGAAGGTGAGTGAAAGCGGAAATGGGCCAGGCCAAATTAGGTGCCTCAAGAGCCCCTCTCTCCCTGAACTCTTGTAACTGGAGCTCTCTGCTTTGCTAAAGTAACATAGGGGGAACTTTTGGAATACAAGATCTCTAAATCCCACTGGGGATGATGTTAACCCGTCAGCAGAAAAGGGAGGGATGAAAGGTTATTACTTTGTTGGCCACTTCCTGCATTAGAAATATACTTTAAGGATGTTTTTTTCATTTCCGTGATTTACAAAATTCGTTTGGCTTCACCCAGCCTCCTTTTGCCCACTGGTTTATGTTTAGTTTATATTTTAGGACACCGATTCCATATGTGTATTTATTACCATAATAATTTCCCTTGCATAAACTCCAATTAGTTTTATTTTCTTTTTTGAGAAAAATTTTAACATAAATATTTGTTACTTAATCATAGTAGTTGCCAATTTCTGGACCATAGACTTTTTTTTTTTTTTTTTTTT